AATCAGTTGCTCCCACACGAATCCCAACCAGCGATCGAACCCAAAACCTGGGTATGCGCCCTGACCAGGAATGGAACCTACTACTTTTTGATGTACAGGACAATGGTCCAATCAAATGAGCCAATTTTTAGTGTTTAGCATATCACATTTTCTCAGTAAATATTAAACGACAACTTTAAATGATTTAATGGAATACTGTTGCATATTTAAAGTCTAAATATTGTATGGGTCTTGTTGATTTTAAATTATTTATCTTTCCACTTAATTAATTAGCTTATTTATTAATCTCTAATATTGAATTATATTTTAAGTTTGTAACTTGTCTTACCCTCCCAAAAATTCATTTGCCTCCCTAAGAGCTTTACTATCAGTAATTAAAGTAATATTGCTGTTTTGCAAATAATATACTATGGTGGATAATCTTTAACACTTTCTACCTTTTCTAAAAAGAAAATACCCTGATGCATTCATGAAAATTGACTAGAAAAAAATTATAACATGAATCTAGGAATGTCAAAGTCCTAAAAGAACTTCAAAATGAATACTAGAAATGAGTCAACTTCCAAGGCTGCTCTCATCATTTGAAACTACCAATTCTGAAACAACTTTTAACTCTAAACCAAAAGTACGAAAGAAAAGAGTTGATGGAGCTAAATAAATTAACATTTAAGCAATATAAATATGAAAAAAAGTATTTTTATAAAAGGTTAATTAAAGATAAACTATTTGTAAAATTCTAATATCTCAAGGCAGTTTAATAAATGATAATAAATAATATAAATAATAAGTAATATCTCAAGACAGTTTCTCTTATGTTTTACTGGGTACAAAAATACTTACAGTTTGATAATATGAGGATGACGAAAGAGTTTTAGATTTTGAATTTCCCGTTTTATTTTTCCAACAACATCTAAACTGCGAATCTTCTGTCTATTTAAGATTTTAACTGCCACTTTATGGCCTGTCAACTGATGTTCTCCAACTAAAAAAAAAAAAAGAAAAAAAAATCTGCTGTCATAGCAACATAATCATTTATTCATACTTCCTTCCACTGCCACCCCAAGTTTCTTTACTCATATATACTACTCTATATCATTTATTGCACAGAACTGAAGTTCTCTTTTCACTTCCATCTCTTCTACTAGATATACACTCCTTGAGGACAGACCCTGTACCTTAGACTCCTCTGTATCCTCAGCACCTAGCACAGATGTTCCCTAGTATCTGTGGAAAGGATGACTGAATTCTGTCTTCCTACATAAAAACATAATCACATTTGGAACCCCATGGACAGAATAGAATTCACTATGTTTTGCTAATCTATTTCTCCTCTTCTGGTTAATGCCATCACTGTATTCTAGAAGAGTATATGATTGCTGTAAAATTAAATAACTAATTTCATTACCATTTCCTCAGAAGATTCACGTGCAGCCCTTTTTTGGACCTTTTCAATAAAGCCTTCCCCTACTGGAAGAAATCCAACATTTGTTGTCCCTTATTTGATGGAATCTCTGCTTCTTTCAAACCCTCACGTTTATAAAGCTCGTGTCATTTATCATATTTAGGCAAATCATATGACATGAGCTATTGGTTCGTATCTTCCTTGAATGAGGCAGTCAGTATTTACCTGACCCCCAGGAAGCACACAGCACATGCTTTGTGCATCCTAATGCTAAATCAGTATGTTATGTTAAATGACACAGTAGTCTTTCCCCTTTCATAGAAGACATTCATAGTACCCACACCACCAGTGATATACTTAAATTCTGTTCAGATAAAAAAATCCTTTATTTGGGTAACAAATGTTTCAGCCTCCCTCTCCTACTTCCTTCAATTACTATTCTAAGCTTCCATCACTCTCTTCACAACGCCTACTCAAACTCTGACCCCCTTTCCCCTCCTCGTTTCTTTGGGGGAAAATGCAGTTGTGAGGAGTGATTTCCTCTACCTTAAAGGCTTACATATATGCATATCCCGCTTTCCTCTAGCCTCCGAGGTGTTTGGCCCTCGTGTTCCAGGCCAGTCTGATCAACTTGTGTCTCTGAATCTATCTTTTCTACCCTCTCCTTACATTCGGCCTTTGCTTCCTAATAGTTCCTTCTCAGCCTATCAGTATCCCCTCCTTCCCCCAACTCTTCCATTTACCCTGTACCTTGCTATACTTTCCAAGATCTGTCTAATCAAAATTTCTGAAAGCAGTGGTCTACATCCATTGTCTTCTCTTCCTCCCTTCTCACCATCCCTAAATTCACTAACTGGCTTCTGCCTCTACTCTTCTACTAAAATCAAAGGGTCACAAAGGACTCATTAATTCTCAAGCCATTTATACTTCTCGGTTCTCAGGTTACCGTACAGTTGACCCCTGAACAACATGGGTTTGAACTGTACGGGGCCACTTAGACACAGGAGTGTTTTCTTTCAATAAATACTATAAATAAATGTGCTTTCTCTTCTTTACAATTGTCTAAATAACACTGTCTTTTCTCTAGCTCACTTTACTTTAAGAATACAGTGTATTATACAAAATGTGTTAAAATACTGTTTATGTTGTTGGTAAGGTTTCCAGTCAACAGTACTTAAGTTTGGGGGGAGAGAAAAGTTGTATGTGGATTTCTGACTGTGCAGGGGTTCGATGCCCCTAACCGTGGGTGTTCAGGGGTCATCTGTAATCTCCGTTACATTATTGTCCTCTCTTTTTGGTTGCCCACTCTCTCCTTGCTCACCTACTAACTCTCAGATGGTCTCTTTCATGGCCTCCTGATTGTTCTTTAAAGGGCAGTGTCCCCAGGTTTTCAACCTAGGCCAAGGCAGGTCCTTAAAAGTTATCTCGTTCATCCCCCCCCCATCTTAATTACCACCCACATGCCAATGACTTTGTTCCCTTCTTAAAATTCATGTATTTCAAGATTAGCATCCCACGAACACCTCCAATTCCATATGTTCAAAACTAAACTCAGCATTACCCTCCCCTTCCTCTACCCAACCTATGTCCTTTATTTCACTGGGCCAACACAGGTGATAGGCCAAGTAGTCAGGTAACATTCTCTCTTACATAGTTCTTGGAGTCAAGTTTCCAATCATTATGACGAATATGTAAATAACAATGACATAAGTGACAATGACATTTACTGTGTTTATTATGTGTTTATTATCAAGTACTAAACATTATTCTAAGTGCTAAATGCCCTGCTAACTCAATTCCATGATTCTATGATATACTATTATCCATTGCACAGATGAGAAACTTGAGACACAGAGAAGTTAAATAAATAACTCATCCAAGGTGACATAGTAAGTGGTAGCAAACATGTGATATCAAACTGTCTGACTTCAGTTCAGAGGTAGCAAGTTTTACCACATCATAGTGACGCCCTCATCAGAGCAATCCACATATGTAAGGGGCTAACCTAGGAAGAACTGAGTTTTTTGTCACACTGGAAATTATTTTAACCTGTACAACTTTTCAAGCAATGAATTATCATCTCAAAGTCATTAATGAAGACTGAGATTTACTTTAGCCTGCATATAAAACAAACAAATTGGGAAAAACCAAGTTCAAGCAACCTAACTTACTAACATTACAAAATATGCTTCCAGGACTCCAGAAAAACAATGTTGATTTTCAGGGACTTTCTACTCAATTAAGATAGCCTAAATGGTTTGTTGATAACTGGGTTGTTTATTACTAACCTTTGGGAATTTTATAATATCCAAACATTTGACTGGGTGGCCTAACAAGTATGTCTCCCTCCTTGAGTCCTTGACAGCATCAATAAAGTAACCAGTGCAGCAGTCTCCTCATCCATACAAAAGGGAATAAGAGTTAAACCTTTGGTTCCCTTGGATAATTAAAATTACTGTCTACTGAGAATATATGTGGCCTTTCCAGATCAAAGAAGTAAGACCAAGGACTGTAACAGCCAAGTGTATAGGTGTTTTGTTTTGTAAGGCCATGTGCTTAAACTGAAAAACAAGGAAACCAAAAAGTGAATGATTACACTCAAAAAATAAAGTATTATTTTGTCAACAAATTTGATAAAAGTTTCAGAACACAAAGTCAATATAAAAAAATCAGTTACATTTCTAGATGCTAACAATAAACTATGAGAAGGAGAAATTAAGCAAACAATCCCATTTACAATTGCATCAAAAATAAAACATTTAGAAATAAATGTAACCAAGGAAGTGAAATATCTGTACACAGAACACTATAAAACACTGGTAAAAGAAGTTGAAGACAACAAATAAATGGAAAGATATTCCACGTCCATGGAGTGAAAGAATTAATATTGTGAAAAGGTCCATACTACCCAATGCAACCTACATATTTAATGCAATCCCTATCAAAACTCCAATGGCATTTTTCACAGAAATAGAAAAAAAAATCCTGAAATTTGTATGGGACCAAAAAAGACCCTGAATAGCCAAAGCAATCTTGCGAAAGAAGAACAAAGCTGGAGGCATCATACTTCCTGATTTCAACAATATTACAAAGCTACAGTAATCAAAACATCACGGCACTGGCATAGAAAGAGTCACATATATCAATGGAACAGGGAGCCCAGTAATAAACCCGTGCATATATAGTATTTAATTTATGATGGAATAAAAAATGTACAATGGGGAAAGGATAGGCTCTTCAATAAATGGTGCAGCGAAAATTGGACAGCTACACACAAAAGAATGAAACTAGACACTCATCTAACACATTACACAAAAAATCAACTCAAAATGGATCAAAAACTTAAATTTAAGACCTCAAACCATAAAAGTTCTAGAAGAAAAAAGAGAGGGTAAGTTCCTTGACACTGGTCTTGGCAAGGACTTTTTTTTAACTTGACAACAAAAGCAAAGGCAAAAGAAGCAAAAATAAACAAGTGAGGCTAAATCAAACTAAAGAACCACATTGCAAATGAAAACATTAACACAACAAAAAGGCAACCTACCTACTGAATGGGAGCATATGTCTGCAAACCACATATCTGATAAGGGGCTACGAATTCACACAACTCAATGGCAAAAAATGAAAATTCGACTAAAAAGTGGGCAAAGGAACTGAATAAACATTTTTCCTTAGAAGATATACAAATGGTCAACATGTACATGGAAAGGTGCTCAACATATTAATCATTAGATAAATGCAAATCAAAACCACAATGAGATATCACCTTAGGCCTGTTGGAATGGCTGGCATCAAAAAGACAAGTAAGTGTTGGAAAGGATGTGGAAAAAAGGGAACCTTCATACACTGTTGGTCGGAATGTAAATTGGTACAGCCAGTGTGGAAAACAGTATGGAGGTTCCTCCAAAAATTAAAAACAGACCTAACATATGATTCAGCAATCACACTTTTGGGTAGCTATTGAAAGGAAATGAAAACAGGATATAAAAAAAATATCTGCACTCCCATATTCATTGTAACATTTTTCACAATAGCCAAGATATGAAAACTATCTTAAGTGTCCTGTCCATCAATGAATGAATGAAGATGTGATATATACTTAAACAGTGGACTATTATTTAATAATAAGAAAGGAAATCCTGTTTGCAACAATAGATGGGCATTGAGGAGATCTATACTAAGTGAAATAAGCCAGGCAGAGAAAGACAAATACTGTATGTTATCACTTATACGTGGAATCTAAAAAAGAAAAGTCAAACTCAGAGAAACAGAGTTGAAAAGTGGTTGCCAGGGACTCTGGGGGTGGGGAAAATAGGGAGAAGTTGGTAAAAAGGCATAAACTTTCAGCTGTAAGATAAATAAGCTCTGTGGATCTAATGTAAAACATAGTGACTATAGTTGATAACACTGTATTATATAATTAAAATTTGCTGAGAACTAAAATGTTCTCACAAAAATACATATATAAGTATATAAATATGTGAGGTGATGGGTGTGTTAGTTAACTAGTGGGAAGGATCCTTTTACAATGTATAAATACATCAGATAATCATGATGTACACTTTAAATATCTTATAATTTTATCAATTATACCTCAATAAAGCTAAAATTTAAAAGGTGTTACTTTGTCATTGGTATCTGACACTGATAAGCTAATTGTGTATCTGATGTCAAGAATCAAATGGATTAAGAATACCACCTCATTTTGCTGAACTATACTAGCCTCTATTCTTTAATAACTTAAGTGCATTAGTACTTACTTATAATTAAATCCAAATAGCTGTCTTCTAATCACATTCCATCTGACACCCAATGAATATTCCTAAAAATCTTATAATATAAACAGATTTAAAAATAAGAATTTCACCCTAGCCAGTTTGGCTCAGTGGTTAGAACGTCGGCCCCAGGACTGAAGGGTCTTGGGTTCAATTCTGTTGAAGGGCACATACCTTGGTTGCAGGCTGGATCCCCAGTCCTAGTCCCTGGCCCAGGTCAGGTGCATGCAGGAGGCAACCAACTGATGTGTCTCTCTCACATTGATGTTTCTCTCTCTCCCTTCCACTCTCTCTGAAAAGCAATGGGAAAATATCCTCGGGTGAGGATTAAAAAAAATTATAAATCAATAAATTTAAAAAAATAAAAATAATAATTTCTTCTATGTGTACTACAGCCATTAACTTTTCTAGGGAATTAAATGAAATAAAAGGTTTGCATTCATCAAAGTCTTATTCCCATTTATTTATTCAACCTAAACACTTTTTACTGAGTACCTTCAACACTCCAGGACTGTGTTGATCAGTCATGAAAAGAGAGGTTTACGAGGCCTCTTTTTGGTGGTGGGGGGCACATCAGCAATAAAGCAGCTAAAATAAGTTTTGTATGGTGTTATATCTGTCTGAAAACTGTTAGGGATACCTTATTTGTAAAGGGAGATCATAGGTGAGAATGAACATTAAAAAACACCAACATGGACAAAGTTGCCAAAATTTATCATGTATATAAGTTAATATTCAGAACACTACCTATTCTGACAGGAGCACTAAGGAACATTCATCCATGGGACAACTAACTAATGAATGCCTACTATGGTAAGCCTTGTACCAGGTCCCTGACATTAACAGTGAACAAAGCAGTTCTATCATGCTTCTAGCTGTCCCAATAGCTACTCCACCCTTCTTTCCCAGACATGAGGCTCCCAAATTGCACCTGAGCACATGGCTATGCAGAGTCAAGGCTGTAACCTAGCATCTCTCGTAACTAGATGTGGCCATGTGACTATGTTCTGACCAATGACATGTAAGCAGAAATGTCCTAGCAGCTTCTTCATCCCTTCCTTACTCCATCCTGAAGCCTGGAATTCCAAAGCCACCACCGTGTGCCTTGAGGACAGGATTAAAAATGTGGGAACAACAGGAGAAAGCAGCCTACACTTTTGACACCATCAGGCATGACAACAGTCGGGAACTACCTGTTCAGACTGCTACAAGATCACAAAGCGCTATTTTGTTTAAGCCAGTCTTATTTAGAAATTTTTTGTCATCCACAGCTACATCTAAATAATACAATATTCAGAATATTTTAAATCTCAAAAGGCTTGAACTTACTTCTTAAAATTTCCAATTTTGCTCAACTACCATCCATGCTTTAATGAAAATAAATTATACAATTTCTTGGAATAAAGAGTTCAACAAACTTATCACCCATTAGTGGTTTGTGTTGTTTTTTCCTAAATTAAGGACAAATTACAAACAATACTCTAAAACCCTGAACTTTTATGGGGAAAAATACCCACACTTACCTAATTTACGCCTTTTAGAATTTTACTTACGATAAGGTGAAGAGCTGTAATACAGAAGAAAGAATGAAACTGATTTATATTGTTCTAGAGGCAGAACTGGGAATAACAGAAATGCAACTAACAAAGTCCTCTGCCCTCTGAAGCCTCTACTCAACTTTTCCACCACTACAGCCATGCTGAAAATGTTCTTTCTAATGTAACTACTGCGCAGTCAGTATACTTTTTTCACAGGATGTGAACTTGATTCTCAATTACTCTCTCAATGCTAGATGGTAGGGGGCTGGAGGTCAGGTTCCTTGCAGTCTTTATCTATTTGCAATAAATAATAAGCCCGGAAAATGGGGCACAGAGAGGTTAAGAACTTGCCCATCGTGCTTCAGC